CTGGATAAGATCCAGTTCCCGGTATCGTGACGGGGAGGCGCCGCGCGCGGCGCTAGCGACGACGCCGGCCACGTCACGCCACGCCACGCCGTGGACCGCGGGACACCGAGGAGCAGAGCCGGGCCATTGGGCTTGCCGGGCGGGCTTGCCGGGGCTTGCTGTGGCCGTCAACGCGGTGCTCATCCGCACCCGGCGATTGGCGTCGGCAGGTGCATTCGGGCTTATATCCATAACCGGTGCCCCGCCCCGCCCCGACCCGCCCCGCCCTCGGTGGCCGGTCCCGGCCCAGCCTCGCCGGATTTGCTGCCGAGATGACCGCACCGGGTGAGGGCCGAGCAAGCGGCAGCGGCAGCAGCGGCGGCAGCCAGCCAGACGGGCCCTGGACTCCAGGGCCTGGAGCCTTGCCTCCAGAGGTCCGGCAGACCGCCGCAGCAACGCTCGCGGTCGGTGACCCGCTGGGGCCCCGGGGGCCAGGGTCGCGGACGGTGGGGCATGGTCGGCCAGGCGCAGGCCAGGGGCAGACTTGATGCCGGCACCCATATCAGGTCTATCTGGTTCGACCCGGCCCGGCCCACAACGCACGGCCGGCGCGGGCCCCTGCTGGCTGGGACCAGGGCTCTCCTACCGAGCCTCTCCTCCCAAAGGTACAGCCTTTGGTCCAGCTGGTTCATCGGAACAGCTGAGAAAAGTCAAAAACAACTTTTTCAAAATGCGAGGAGGAGACTAGCTAAAGAAAAACAAAGTCCAGACCAGTCCAGACCAAAATGTTACACGCGTTATATTGCGGACTCGTTTTAGTCACCTGAAAGCAGTCTCTTTCATGGAACAAGTATTATTATACTGCTGCTTTACTCAACACCCCCCCCCCCCACACACACACCCCTACACACACACACACACACAGCCAAACAACCTCCTTACATCTCTTTCCTCTCCTTGTGTGCTTGTCGTGTCCTGGCGCAGTTACAGCCACATTCGAGACTAGAAAGCTGCTTTATATCCACGAATCCGACAACGAGCCGCGGCGAGCGACGCGGAGCTACGACCACCGCGCACCTCGCCGACATGCTGCCCCGCCGTAGATGTCAGTCTACTCATTGTATGATATTCCCCTCTCTCCGACCTTTCTTTTATCCTCCTCTCTCTCTCGTTCTCCGCGGGGAAGGCGAAGGGAGAGAGAGGGAAGAAGGGGATAGGATACAAGAAATCCGAGACGTAATATCATTGTCAGCGGCGGCGTCGATTCGCACCTCTAGGGGGGAGCAGAGCCCGTCAGGCCGGCGGCCCGTCGGACGTGGACGTGATGGATGGTAAAGCGAAGCGCCTCGCGAAACGCCCAGCAGTAGACTGATTCCGAGAGTCGTTTTCGTCGCTCTGTCTCTCTCGCACTCATGGGGCGCCCCGCTTAGGTGCGAGTGAGACAGAGCCAGTGCCAAGCAGTGCCCTGCCGCGTCGCCCCGCGTTACAGTTTCCACGCGCCGCGCCACGCGGCCCGGCCAGTCATCCACGGTGAGGAGGGAGTTGAGGGCGGCGAGGCGAGCGCTGCTTGACTTGACCGTCCACGTCGTCCGCCCACCGAGGGCCGAAGCCGCCAGCGCGCCAGCGCCTCGTTAGCGGTGGTGGCGGTGGCCGTCCGGCGAATGGAAGCGTCTGAACCCCTCCCCTCCCCTCCCCCTCCCCGTCGCCCTGCAATTGGGCAGTGACGAGGCACTGACATCGAGCGGCCTGCCTGATGTCCTGATGGGTCATATCGGGATCGCAATGACTTTCTCCCGAATTCTCCAGAAGGGAGAAAAGCGGGGACCGGAGGCCGCCAGGCTCGCCCCCGGGCTTTGCCTCCAGGACCTGGAGTCCAGGTGCACCGCGCGTGTTACCTGGAAAATGAGCTGTCAGCGGCCGCGGCGCGGCAGCTCGGCCGGATTCGGACTTTCGGACTTTCAGACTCGGTTTCGCTCTGCTTTGTCTGCGCCAGGTGCGCGGCGCGCCAGCTTTCTGCAGACCGACTCCAAAGAGTCGTTTCGTCGCTTTATCTCTCTCTAACTATAGAACGCCGCATGAGTGCGACAGAGACAGAGCGACGAAATGACTCTTCCGGTGGCAAAGGCGCCCCGTGGGTAGGCAGCCCCGCGAGCAGCCAAGGCTCTGGGCGTCGCTCTGTCTCTGTAGCACTTGTGGGATGTCCCCTGGGATCACGAGAGAGACAGAGCGGCTAACCGCTCTCCTGAATTAACATGCCCATACTGCCGAAACAAGTACATCGTGTGCAACGCGAGTCACAGGAGTTGGTTGGACACCCTGCTGTTCCGTCGACACGGTGAGAGGACCTCCTCCGCCGGCCCGGGCCGGGGAGCCGCCAGGCACACGCCGGGCTTCCCTCTGACGAAGCCTTCCTGCCGACGCCCGACGCGTCGCTCCCCCGCTTCCTCCCGGAGGCCCTGCTGGCCCTGCTGGCCCTGCTCGTTGAGGAAGGGCCCCGCGGCCTCGCTTGCATAAGTAGTGGAAACGGTACGGTACATGGGAAGCCGCAGAACGCCCACGCCCTGCCAGCGCCGCCGTGCCGCCCTGCGCACCGCCGCGGCAACCACCGCCGCGCTAACTCTTGCAGCGCTTGCAGCAGTGCAAGATGAACCCGGGGGAAGCTTTCCTGCATGCCTTCCGTGTGAGACCCCGCCCCGCCCCGCCCCGCCCCGCCGCCACCCCTGCCCCGGGAAAGCGGTGACGCGTGCGCGACTGCGCGGCGCCACGCAGGACACGCAGGGCCGGCCCCCAGGCCCCTCCAGACCCATCGGTATGGACACCCCCGCGACAATCGATGCGTCGCTGCGGCGTCGAGGAACCTGCGGAGCGATTCCGCGCGCCGCTTCCGTCGCTCCGTCTCTGTCGCACCGCTGCGGACTGCGGGACGCCCCGCGAGTGCGAGAGAGACAGAGCGGTTTCGGAATCGGCCAGCGGGAAGGCGGCGTCGAGCCAGGCGTCGCCAGCGGCACCGCGTCGCCGGAACATTAGACAGCGGAACGCTTCATCGGCGTTTCTCTCGCCACTTTTCTGTCCCTGTCCGACTGTCTGTGCGTGTAAGTGTGTGTGTTAGTGTTGGAGAGATGTATTGATAGGCGCGGGTGGTTGTAAGCCCGAAGCCCCCGGGGGCGGTTCGGCGGTTGTGTGCATCCTCTCCCCGTCGCGGCCGACCAGGCCGTGCGGCAGACCTGCCTGCTTTCGCGGAAAAGAGACAAGCCTTCTGCGGTGCCGCATGGCACGCGTTGCGTCACGGACAGGATGTAGCACTGCCTGTGGCACTGCTTGCCACTCCGGAGTCCCGCAGTAGTGTGCTCTAATCGATCGAGGGGTCGACATCGATTTTTGACTCGCCTGCTACAACAGTGTCCCCAGCCTTGCCGCGACACGGCTTCCCTCTGCCCGAAACTGGTCCGGGAAAATAAAACGATCTCCTATCGGCGCACGGCCCGCACGGCACACATCAAGGGTCCGTCGGCCAGACGCCGCAGACCCGAGAAGAGCCGGGGGCGGAGCGCTGCCGCTTCCGTCCACTCATTTCCAAACGCGAAAGACGAGAAGGGGGACAAGGGACAGAAAAAAAGAAAGAGGAGTAGCAGCAGACGAGGCCGCGACGCGGCCATGGCGAGAAAAAAGGAGCCTGATTAAAGTTTGTTTCTCCGCAAGACGGCCTAGGATGTCCAGGAGAGGTGGCCCTGCAAACGAGCCGGCTCTGTGCAGTGCAGGCGCCAGGTCATGTGGGGCGCAGAGCAAAAGGGGGGGGGGGAGGAAGCAGCGGCCACGCTGCGGGGGAGAAACTCGACGTCCATTCACGCTGTGCTGACGCCTGGCTGACGCCTCCAGAGCTCCCGGTTGACGGCTGGAGCCACGGACGCCACAAACCCTCCAGCTGCTGGAAACACTGGAACTGCGGGGGAAAAGGAAACCGGAGCACGGTCCACTCCCGGTCAACTCACTGTCGAACTCCGCACCGCGGAAGCAGCAGGCAGAGGAAGGAGACGCGTTCATTTTCGCGTTTTCAAAGGCGTCGCCGACTGGCAGAGAGACCACTCGACTCCCTTCCCCTCACGTCCAGCACAAGATCAACACGCACAGCCTGACTGACACACACACACATTTATGGTAGTACTGGCTCCACGCACACCACTCCATTTTTCCGGTAGCCCGACCGGTGATTTGCCTCCGCCAATCATTATTTTCAGCAGAGGGATTCGTAATGACTCGACGGGGACGCCACCCCGCCCCGCCCCGCCTCGTCTAGTGGGGCGCACCATTTCCGACGATGATCTGCGTTTCGGCACCGCCACGCCAGGCCTCGCCACGCCCCGCTTCGACACGGACCGCCATGAACCGAACCGACACCGGGCGCTGCTTGGCTTGGCAGTGTGCGTGCACTGCTACGTGCGGCCCATGGGGCCAAAGAGGCTGGCGGCTGCATTGGATGCCACATTGGGTGCTGCATTGGACGCTGCATTGGACGCTGCATTGGACGCTGCATTGGACGCTGCATTGGACGCTGCATTGGATGCCGCATTGGGTGCTGCATTGGACGCTGCATTGGACGCTGCATTGGACGCTGCATTGGATGCTGCATTGGATGCTGCATTGGACGCTGCATTGGACGCTGCATTGGATGTTGCAGCCCCGCCCGGCCCTCTCCAGCACCACGGCGTACTTGCAGTGCCACGGCGCGCCCGGGCGTGCCGCGGTCCAAATGTCAAGGCGGTCTCCGACCATGCCTGTCTGTCTGGAGATGCTAACGTCGACCGGCTTAATGCACTTCATGAACTCATCACCGATATTTTATGAAAAATCGTTTCTGAAAACTTTAGTAGGCGATCACGGTTAAATATGTGACAAAGAGCTTCGGGATATTTTTGGAAATGGAAATGGACATAGAGTACTAAGTTTTACAGTGTTTTTTTCTCACGATTTTGTGGGTGAACTTTGAGTTACTGCAAATGGGGCGCCAGGGCGCGCTACTGTACCTTTCCGGCAGGGCGGCGGGACGACGAGGCGGTGCTGCCACCCCGGAGAGGGAAGGCCGAAGCCAGAGGCCGAAGCCAAAGGCCGACGGCCCGGCGCGGGCTGCTGGGTTAATCCTAATCCTTTGGATCCGGCGCGCACTTCACACAATCCACCAAACCACTCACACAAACACACTGACGCGCGCGCGCACTCGCGGCGGCGCTGCCCGGGCCGCACGTCGCGGCGGTCGCTGGGCCCTGGGCGTCGAACCGTGCCACCGCTACACCGCGCTACACTCTACAGGCTGGGGGCGTTCCGGCGAGGCGCTTCGCGTGCTTCGGCTTCGCGTCCCGCGGCATGGAGCGCGCGGCTCTCGACTGCCGGTCCGGCCGGACTGCCCCAGTGCCGCTGCGCTGCGCCGCGCACCGCACCGCCGGCTCGGCGGCCCCCGCTCCTCCCTCTCCTCCGGGCGCGGCGGCGGCGGTGACGGCCGGTGGGGCCTAGGGGGCCTAGGGCCGGGTGCGCCAGAGTGAGAAGGCGTCCTGGAACGGGCTCTTCTTCTCCTCGCACTCCGTCGCGGCGCTGCCACTGCGGTGCTGGCCAGCCGAAAGCAGCGCAAGCAGCGTGCAGAGGTGCAGCGCGCGCTCCGGACACCCGTCCAGTCACAGTGGCGGATCCAGAGCCACTTTGAAAAGGAGGGCCAGCAGCTTTGCAGGAGTACTAAAGAGTGACTTTTGCCTAAGCCTTGCAGGTGGCTGAAATATAGCGTGGGAAATGTCAGAAGGATTACAGTTCCAAAATAAATGACCCCGCCAGGAGTCCGCACAGGCCTCTCCTCTACGGTTGCCGAGACTGGTGGGCTGAGGACAGCCGGATGCAGCATGAAGCTCGAGTTTGCCCTGCCTTGCACCCGAGTGCCTTTGGAGGGCCCACCGACCGGCCAGGCTTGTCCCACGACAAACACTGTCCGTGCGGGCCTTGCCTGGCCTCGCCTGGCCTCGCTAGGCCTCGCCTCCGCCCTTGCCCGCCTGGCTTGCTGGCTTTCCCTCGCGAGGTGGGTATGACCATTTCGGTGCGGACAGACAGGCGCCCGGGGCGCAATTACTGGACTGCGGACTGCAGAGTCACTCCACTCCACCCGCTTCCCACACGGCACTGCAAGTGCGGCGCGGCCACCCAGTACCAGCAACTGGCACGCGCGTGCCCTGCCGTGTCGCAGTCCTTGAACGACGCGCCCCGACCCGGATGGCCGCGAGTCGCCTTCCTCGGCGTGTCTGGTCCGCGTGTCGCTGTCGCACGACTCGACTGGGACTCAGTCACTTGCGTGCCGGACGGAGCGGGGTGGACCCTGGACCGCCGGCCACCCCGAGCGAGGCCCAGCAGTGGGCATTGTCGTCGCGGTGCCGTGGGAGGCGGCGTGGCGGCCGGGCCGGCACTGGGCGTGCGCGTGCGCCACACCACGGCCGCCCCGTGGCCGTGCGTTATTGTTATTCCCTAAAGTCCTCGCGTGCGTTCTCGCGGCCCTGCACGGCCTGGCCCACTGGCAGCCACGCGCCAAGCGACGCCCAGCTAGCGTCTCGCCAGCGAGGGAATGACCCAAGTTATGGGCCGCTCTGTGTTCCCGATCCGACCAAACCCGCCAAAGTGCGCCCGTTGGCCCATCCTTGCCAAAGGGCAAACAAAAAGATTTTAGGTCTAAAGCTTGTCCTTAGAGGGCTGCATCGGGTGTAAGAAACTCAAAAAACTTCCACATGGCTACATTTTCAAACTTTTATTCATTAAAAACCACATATGAATGTATGTCAAGAAGCCACATAAATGTGTGCCAAAAATTAAAGATCAACAGAGCACATGCTGAACATGTGATGAAAAAGTTTTTCAAGAAAGGTCCTTGGTTGGTGAACATGTTTCACATGAATATATATTATACGAACAAATAAATACTACTCTTTAAAATTATATCAAACAAAATTGAGTACAAAAAAAAAAAAAAGGAAATTCACATGACTTCATAAATAAAAATAATAAAAATTCATAAATAAAATTTTGAAGGACGGATAAGAAATATTAGGCAGAAGCTGGTCTACAGCAACAATAAAATATTCCACATTATCAAAAAATACATAATTTTCTACATTTGTCAGGAAATTTTTAACCTTACAGTGGTCAACTGTGAAAGACAATTGCAAATCTACTTTGGTCACAACCTTCTGATAAACTCTTCAACGCACAACAGCGTCGATGTAAGTCTAGTAACAGTAGTATTCAAATTCTTGTTGAACAACAGGAATTTTATAAGCTGCATATGTATGCCTGAAACACTGCAAAGTTCAGTGTTCAGCTCATGCTTTTGTCAACCATGATAGACTAGCTTGTAAGGTATGCTCAATAAAATTTGTCTTTTTGGACCCAAATTGAAGAATAGAAGTCTTGAAGTAAGGCATTTTGATGACTATAAAAAGAATCTAGCTAGAGAGCTCACATGGGTGATTGTCTAAATTTTTTTAAAAAGTTACGAGCTTGGCTCAGTACATGCGAACTAAAAATCAAAACTCAAGTGTCGACCCATTTGAGCTCTCTAAGTCAAGCTATGCTACAAACTCGCTGTTAAAAATATGATGACATTATTTCTTTATCATAAGGAGTCACTGATAATTTATAAGGTAAGAACCTAGATGTTTCAAAGAGTTGATATAAAAATAGCAATACAGACATATTGCAGTTTTGAGCAAGCACACAGTCCCAAGAAGAAAGTGCATAAAACACTAAAAACAAAGTGTCTTTTAATTACTTATCAAATTAATATTGATGTGAGAAAAGTCCCACTAAGTGCTAGCCATCAAGAAAAAAAATAGGGTCACCCTGCACCAGTACACAAACATATTACATAAATTGCTAATCCTTACACGATTTTTAACAACACTAGTCAAGTCCATAAAATTTTGAAAATTGAAAAGAAAGACTAATGAAAACAAGGCGTCAGAGTGATCTGGACCAGTAATGATACCAGTCCTGAATAGATGTGAGCACTTAATACTGAAGGAAAGGAAACGGGTGTAACCATGTTTATCAAGCAGAATTCTTCCAATCACCACACACATACACGCACACAAACACACAAGGCTAGAACAAAAATAACTAGGGGGTGATGCAAACAGATATTTGCAAACTGAACAAAAGAAAAAGCTAAAGGATGTGTGGCTCTAAGACTTGTAATAGAAAATATGCCCATAAGACTCACATTAATTTTCCACACATAAACTTTACACACATTTTGGTAGGCATGAACACAAGTATTAAACAGTATGAGTAGAAGTTAATTAAGTCCCAACTAACTTAAAAACACATGAAAAATCTCAGTCGGCCTAAAAATACATTGTTCCACAGCAATTTTGAAAAAAGTTCAAACTTTGCTCCAACATAAATGTAAAATCAAACCAAACAACAACAAAAAGTTGTCAATCTAAAAGAGTATGGTCTTGTACCTCATACAGGCTATGATCCAATGCAGTCAGATACCAAAGAAAAGTACAGGCAATACATGATCAAAACCTATCAGCTTCATACGAAATGAAAGGGATGGGCAAATATAAACTATTCTGTGTGAATAACAAGAATAACAGACATACATATAGAACAGCGATAATAAAAACAATAACAGTAAATAAAGTGCTAGATACATGGATATTCGTTCTTCACAACTGATAATGTGACTGAAAATTATACAAAACTTTACAATTTCAACTTGAAAACTTGAAAAGCTCAACATCATTAGTAAAAATAGAAACAATCTGTTTCACTCAAAAGAGTAGCAAATTTTGTAGAAAATATAGTACACACGGACCCATTTGATGCTGTTTCAAATATATAGTTTATATGAACAGACTAGGGGCATCTTCAGTTTTAGATTGTCTCTCATAGTCAGAGACAAATGTATTATACAAAATACATTAGAGAGGAAGACTTAGAATCTGGACTTTTATCAATCTACGGTTCCATAGGAGAAAATATGAAAGCTTTGGCCCACCGAAACACCCAATTCACCTCTTCAACTCACAATTATCCTAACTTCCCTTTTCAAAGATTTTGAACAATTCATAAACTCTGCTGACAGTGGCAGTCAACTGGACAAAGTCCGAAGAGGTCGGCCATAGGAAGTACACATGTTACAGTTTACTTCTTTAATTTCATTTTAGTTGCAGGTTGGATTAGCTTCATATCATCAGTCCTGTATGCTTATCACAATATGCATGCGATAAAAGCTTTCAGTTTAAGACACAGGAACCCATAAAGTTTTGTTTTGTTCCACGCCAACAGCAGCTTTTATCTGAGTACACATATATGCAACATTCACTCCAGCAGGAATAACAGCTGTTGATGAAAAATGGATGGCATGAGTTATCAAATATGAGTAACAATAATCCAAAGTACCAAAAGAAACAAGTGGTTTTTATTTTCAGAAAACAACTTTTACACTTACCAGAAATTAAATGCCGATATTCAGTTTCCAACTTGAGGGAATGTTCATACATTTCTTTTGCTGCTTTAGCTGAAACCTTGTCCATGGAGCAGCGGGTGTCTTTCACTTCTTTAATTTGTTTAGTTGACTTGAATTTGATAAGTAATATAATAGGATAAAGGTTGTGGCGGTGAAGCCTTTCAACAGATGATAGGGAAATATCGAGAATGCAGTGAGTCTTCTGAAAGAAAAGAGTCAGGGTGTTAAAAAAGAATCATGTAAAACAAACATGCAACCAAGTGATCAAAATTTACTGGATGCATACTTTATCACAAATGTCTCTAATGGCAGCTACAGATGTACACTCAAAATAGCTGCCACCCTTCTTCCTGAAATCTACAAGAACCCCATTGGCAATGCCTTTTTCCACGTCTGTGGAACTGCAATGCATCACATCCGGGCTGCACCTAATGAACAACTGAGGGAAGTCTTGCAAAAGTCGCTCAGTTACACAGTCTGCCAATGGCCCAACTATGAGCACTGGTCTAAACACAGTATCTAAAAGGAAAAGTAAATTTGGATTTAGATTATTGATAGATAACACAACTGTTTCAATTACTGTCCAAGCCACACTTACAATTAAGCCGTTCTACACGCAAATAGCTGGAAAGTGCAGCTTCATCATGCAAGTTTCCAGAATCTGAGTACCAGCCCAAGTTGATGCTGCTAAAACTGGCCAACTCTTTGCTGTCCTGGCTTGCAGAACGTTGGTGCTTTTTGCGGCGGAAAAAGCTCCGCCGCGCTGTTGTGGAACCGCGACGTACATCCGTCTCCAAATCACCCAAACTACGTCTCAGCAACTGTTCCTCCACTCTGAAAATAGAAACAAAACAGGCCTGTTGAGCGAGCAATGCACACTGCTACTAGGAATCTGGTTTCACTAAACACTTACTTGTATTTGCTTGGAATAATGCCACACTGCTGCATAATGTTTCCCTCCTCATCCACACACCATGCCCTCCAGTTGCCAGGCTTTCCATTAAACATAGTGTTGTCAATAAACAGGACATCATCTTTGTGAAAACGCAGCTGCATTGCTTCGCCAGAGTCGCCTTGACGATCAAACAAGGCACGAATAAAGAAGCTGTCACCGGGCTTGTCCTTTATTTTGTTATACTTGTCAATATTGTAATGAACAAGAACAGTGACTTTGTCAGCAGGCTTGGCTAATTCATAAGCAGCTTCCTCTGCTGTTGCTTGACGCAGGTCAGTTGAGTTGTATTCCAGTATTTGGTCACCAGTCCTTAATCCAGCCTCACAGGCAAGTGAATCTGGTTGGACACTGTGCACAAAGATGCCCACAGCATTGCCTCCTACAAGGCTGATACCAAGGTTGCTACATTTGCGCGTTTCCAGCATTAGGAGACGGGGCTCATGTGCAGTGGATGAAGACTTGTTAGCATCATCCAAGCTCCTACAAAAAGGAAAAACAGGGTAAGGTAAAGAAAATTATTTGTATAACAGTCAAATGGGCAGTAGTACTCACTGAACAAGGGAAGAGCGTTGTGAATGAGTTGTGTTAAACTTGGCTCCTTTTTGCCTCTGGAGGGTTGCTGTGGCTTGAACTATTTGACTTCTTGTCAAGGTATTTTGTTCATTAGGTAGAGTACTACTGTACAGGCTGTTCGGGCCCAATTCTTGCAATTTGCGAGCAGCATGTGGCGAGTTGCGAGGCGTAGGTGAGTCCGAGCGATGGCTTTCATCACCACTGGAACTTGCCGAGTTCTCCATTTTATACTCTGAAAAATTTTTGAATGTGAAAAGGGCATTGCAAAATAAAAGAAACATTCTAAAGAAATTCAAAAGGATGAGCTTACTATCAGGGCTATATTGCACTAGCATAGTAATGGAGTTGCCACACTGACGTAAGACATTTGCAGCTAGCTGATAGGTCGCGCTACGCATGTTGATTCCACACACTTCAAGGAGTTGATCTCCAACCTAGTGAGGATAGAATAACATAAAAAGTGAACTAAAAGGTCTTGACTTTAATGTCAATAAAGAATAAAATTTGTAGTGACTCTAATTACGCACCTGTAAACCAACTTTGCTAGCAAGGCTGTTGACACTAACAGTGGACACAAAAACACCACCACCATCGAGACATTTTATTTGTATTCCTAATGGTTCCACAGATTTATCAATGTGCACCCTTCTCAAATCCCCTGGAGCAGGTACAGGACTGCAAGATAAACACAAATTAGCAAAACATGCCTGCCACTTATGATTATTAATAATGATATTACTGAGGTGAACAACTTACGAGTATTGGGATTGGTGGGTCCCTGACCAATAATCAGGGAGAGAGTTTCTCTTGTTTCCCCGGCTTGAGTCACGACTTAACACATCCACTCGAAAGGTGGGCATTGGACTGTCTCGCTCGGAGGACCTCTCCATACTGCTGGTGGACACCTTGCTGGTAACACTGGGATTTGAGGGAATCCTGCAATTTCAAGGCAGTTAAATTTAAAAGAAGTTTTCATTAAATGAATGCAAGTAGAATAAAGTACAGTAATAAAAAATAAAATTCACACCTGAACCGTGGATTTTCTTTCTTCCGAGGAAATGTCCCACTTTCAAATCCACCACTGTGAATGTGGATTGCCATATCATCATTTCCCCGAGTATAAGTGGGATGGGAATGGGCCTGATGGAGTGACTGTGATTTTCCATAATGGACCTCAGAAGGGGAATGAGAATGGTATGATGGCTGTCAAAAATAATTAAACCATTATATTACCAAATGCTAGGACAAGAAAAATAAATGCTAAGTGGATATTAAGAAAGCCCATACCTGAGAGGGGCTGTATGGTGGTTCAAAAATAAACCTGTTAGTGTCTGGCAACCCAATGGACTCAGATGATGGCAAGTGATGGGGTGGAGAGTGGTACCGAGGGATAGGGAGACGAGTTGGCAAGGTTGGTCCTATAGTGTGGGAGTGTGGATGGTGTGGGTGAGGAACCGGTACTGGGAAGGGATAGTGTGGATGTGGTCTCGGGTACAAGACAGACATTATCCGGCTGTGAGAGGAAGGTACTGGACTTGCATTGCTCTCACTGTCACTGGGAGGATAGTGACGCATTCCCCCACTGTCGCCATTGCTTCCCTTCTTCTTGCAGAAATCTATCATATCCTTTGAGGCATTGCTGCTCTTCACTGACATATCAAGACTCATATCACTTAGATGATCACAATCGGGTGCAGGGGGATCGTTCAAGAGAGCAGATATGGGAACTCTTTCTTTTGGTCTGTAAAAGAAGAAAACGACGATTATTTTTCAAAAGTAATTTCATGGAGTTCTCAAGCATTTACTCACAAAGAACATCATAAAGAGAGTCAATACCTCCGGTGATGCATGACTGTTCCATTGTTGTGCCTTGATGTCACACCAACACGGGCCTTGGGCCATGTGCCTCCATTCTTTTCTGGCTCCTTGCGCCGCTTGTTTTTAGTTCTCATTGCAACTGTTCCTGCACCACTTCCGAATCGAGATGTCTGACTGGTCTGGTTGGGACCGCGGTAGCTGTCAATTACAGAATCAAGCTCTGCGATGACTTCTTCTTCAGGTCCCACAGGTGACACATTGCGATCTTTATTCTTATCTTGAAAGTTATACTGTAGAATTTTAAAAGGTTAAATCAGCAAAGAAGTTGGAAAGTATGGCATAAACACAAACAGAGAGCTCTTATGAAGTTAGTTACCTCTCTGCGTCTGGCAAACTTGTCAAATTTGTCTCGTATTAATTCACCCCAACCTGTGCTGCTACTGCCACTGTTGCTGCTCACTTTTTCGACAGAGCTCTTATTGACCTGGTACACAGATCGCTCTGAAAATCTGCTATAAATAGAGATGTTGTGGCATTAGTACAAAGAAAACAACCCAGAGTAGTAGCAATTAAACTTTTACAAAGAATCTGAGTAAACTGACGGAAACTCTTCTTACCTTTGATCCAGCAAGTCTGGTCGGACACCAATATTATCCGTTTGACAAGCACTGTGTTTGTGGTCACGCCCATGAGGGCTGTGAGTTGCATGCTGGCCATGAGGACGAGACATATTGCTGGGACTACTACTACCAGTGGGAGATCTTGCAAAGGCTCTGTGCTCCCTAGAAAATGAATTCATTTCCGTTCACAGTTGCTGCTCCACCAAGATGGTAGGATTCCTTTTATAAAATGAACAGTGTCACTGTATCTTACCTCAGTTGCTGAGCACTTTCTTTACAGGAACTACTAGTCGTAGAAAAGGCTCTTTCCTCTTCACAACTACTGTGGGTACTACTGCTGCCACTGCCAGAGCCCTTCAGTGTTGTGATAGTCACAGTGTCACCCCGCTCTTCCAAGAAGGCAATAGCTTCTCTGGCAGATGAAAGCCCATCCATGGGCTTATTGTTAATCTACAAGCAAATTATAAATGAAATTAACTACACACAGGATTGGTACAAAACATCCAACAAGACTCAAAAAATCAACTCACACTGAGAACTCTGTCACCAACAGCTAGATTGCCTTCTTTAGCAGCAGCTGAGCCAGGGCTTATTTTACAAATGTAAATTCCAGTCTCAAGAGAAAGACCATGTTCACAATCCAACCCCATATGTAGCTAAAAGGAGAGAACAATACAGTGAAGGTACAAATAACTAATCCCCAAAAAAGTTGTTAAAAACAAACATTGCAATACCTGAGTAGTGTAAATACTGCGAATAAATCTCCTCCTTCGAACAACCATACTTGCAACTCGGCCACCGGCACGAACAGTTTCCAATACCATACGCTTACTGACATTACTACAATCCACATTGTTTACTCTGCTTATGCAGTCATTAATCCTAGTGAAAAAAATTCAATAAAATGAGATGCTGATAAAACTACAATTCAAACCTTTCATCAAAATGATACTAACTTAAGCTTTCCATCTGCCACACTGCCTTTAGCAATGGAGGAAACATATATTCCACTGTCATTGGGATACTGAGGATCATCTCTGCCTCCAACCAAATCAAATCCCAAATCATCATCAGATGCAAGCCCACTCTGTAAATATTAAACAAAAGACTAGAGAATAAATCAACTATTCAATCGGTAAAAAGTATGAAAAACAAAATGGTTGAATTTGCATACAAGATCAATGTCCAGCATCTCTGTTTCCCACTCTTGTAAATCTGAATCAATTGCTGAGTCATGACTATGATTATGTCCTGCTGCTCGGAACTGTTGAGAGCGACTTTCTTTTTCCATTTGAGCTTCCATTTTTTCCCTAGTAATAAACAAAATAAAAAAATTCAACAATTAAACAATAAATGAATAAGTAATGGGTATACTGTCCAGCGACTGCTACTTACTTCAATTGTTTAAGTTCCTTTGAAGCTTCATTGCGTTGTTTTTTAATATCATCTGAATCCCTCAATGCCTCAGCCAGATCAGAAACAGCCCTATCACGTTCTTTGCGCAGTTTATCACATAGAGTCCGTATACTCTCACGCTCAAGGACAATTTTGTCCCTTTCACTAAATGCCCAGTCTCTACGCCTCTTTGACACCTCAGCTTCTTGAGTAGACTCTGCAATGTAAATGTGATTAGATTTCACAGAGGAGTAGGGAATCTTAAAGTTCAGAAATCAAGGTTTAAGAGGAAATCACAAAACAAACCTTGTAGCTCAGCCTGTAGTTTGTCAACCTGCTTGCGAAGTCGTTCTAGTTCCTGATTTGCTTGATCTAGATTATCCATGCGTTCTCTCTGGGATTTTCCATACATGTCTCTGGTACTAGTGGAAATTTCAGCTTGGTCATTTCGACCCGTATCTCTGCAACACAGTAAAGACCAATTTTGTTACAAAGTTTATTCTTCAATAGGGATCGAGACTAATAATGTCTTATTTAAATTGACCTTTCACGGGTGTACGTATTTGACTCATAGGCAGCAAGACCGCCACTGTTAGACTCCTTCTGAGCTATGAAGTCGCCATATTTCTCACGTAAATCATTACACTCTTTCAGAGCTTTGTCTCTGTCATGCAGTGCAGAAGCAATTTCTCGTTTGAGAGTTTCCACTTGATAGGACAGAGCTTTTTTCTGTAAGAAGAACACACAATGGTAAATGCTCATGTTGGTTCAAAATTGTCACAAAAAGATTGTTAGCAAGTCAAATGAAAAACGTCTCAGGTATTATATTCATTGACACCTACATCTTCAATACAGTCCTTATTCTCAACCTCAAGAGTTCGATTCTTATTGAAAGCCTGTGTTAGGTCATCTGTCAATTTCTCCATCTCCTTGTGGACCGTATCTCTTTCACTCATGATCAGTGAATATTCCTGCATGGCTGCATTCCTCTCCTCAGTCAACCGCTTCAGATCTTTGCTTGCCTTCATTCGAACGGCCATAGCTTGATTGATCTCCTTGACAGCCTCTTCATGCTGTTGCTGTGCCTATTAAGAGAATTTAAGAATTAGAAATTTTTGATTCTGTACAGCAAGAGGAAGAAGTGACATAGATCATAAACTCACTTTTGCCAAAGCTTCTCGATATTCATTTCTTTCCCTGAGTGCAATATCCCACTGGCGAATGGCCGCCGTACATTGTTGTTGTAAAACTGTTCTTTCTCGAACCGCCAAGTTTCTTTCCTGCACCAGTTCTTCACATTGCTTTTTCAGTCTTCCGACTTCTTCCTGCAATTGAAGAAAGATACAAATAAGTAGTAAGAAATGCCAAGAGCAAGAAAAAGGACATCAAGTAAGCAAAATTTTTAATGAATTCATTCTATACCTGAGCAAGTTCTAATTTGTTAACAGCAGCAGAGTGAGAGGCTATGAGATCATCATAACGTTTTCGGAGTGATTCATATTCATCTTTAACCATTTCGTATTTTTCACAGGCAGTTAAATAATGTTGGTTTAGTGTATCAGCTGTGCCACCTTCATTTCCAATCACATCCTAAAAGGAATTTACAAAAAAAAAAAAAAAAAAAAAGGTTATAGGCGAAAAATAAAAGCATTTCAGGAAAGAAATGATAGATATTCAATGAAGGGTTACCTGTGACCTCAGTTCACCAATTTCAAGTTGCAGTGTTTGCATGTCACGTTCTAAACGCAACTTTTCTGCTGCTATTTCACTATATTTTCCCCTAAGTGTTGATGATTCTGTTGCAGCTGCCTCTAACTGACTCATAGCTGCACGGTGTTGGCTTCTGTAATAGTCGAGTTCCTTCATGGTGTGATCGCATCGTCGGGTAGTTTCGCTGTGCTGCCTGCATAAACACAATAACAGAAGTACAGAAACCACAAATTCAACATAGACACAATGAATCATAATAAATAGCCAATGAGAACTCACCTGCGAAGAAGCTGCAACTCATGCATGGCCTTATCACATTGTTGTTTTAGACCATCATAATCTCGGGGAGATGCTCCAGAATGACTCCGATCGCTTCTGTCACTTCGATCACTGCGGTCACTGCGATCACTACTACTGACCACATTGTAATTTCTTTGCAGGGTCCCGGAGGCTAAGCAGAAATGATGGCCAATTGAGTTCAATGAAAGAAAATATTGAACTGTCAGACAGTTGCTGACACCGTTAGACACTTACCATTGTTGCCATTGCTTTCAAGTGATGATGCACCTGAAGCCATTTTAACCTAGACTTATTTGCGATGGTAAAGATACTTAGAGACATCCCATTGGCACCGATCTGAATTTGACTGACATCATTTTATGGCTTATTTGGTCTTTCGCTTCTGTGCTGAGAAACATTCTGTGGAGAAAAGAAAGATATTGTGATTAAATGAATGGATAAAATTAATCAAGGATTCATTAAAAGAACCATTATTAAAATCAAGAGGTAACAGAAACAAAACAAAAATAAATGAAACACAGAGCATAGATCTACAGTAAATTGCACAAGACGGAAAAGTAAATCAAAGCCTCAGAGAAACAAGACAGGACTCTCTTTTCTTCTCCCAGATAGCAGAGGACATGCTAGAGTGAGCACAAAATTATTCTACTTTCTCTCCTAACAGTGCAGAGAAGCCAGAGGTCTACTCTGTATTGACAATATTTTTTTCAGTATTATTCATCTGAAGCAGACACAACGATTGTGCGACTAGAATTTCAGTTTCAAACAAGAGGATTAAATGTATTTTTAGCTGACTCCATCACATATAAAAAGACAAATGACCCACATGGATATGTTGAAGACGCCCTCGAGCGCTTATTCGTAAATCAAAACAGGAATAGAGCTCAATAAGAAAAGGGAATAATTTTTTTGTCACCTTGATGATACAGTATCTAAATAATAACATTTGGCATCAACTACTCTAGGTACCTGTTGCACCATTCGATTCACGACATCATGTCGTAAGTTCACTCTATCGAAGGAATATGAGTGATGACGATAGGACCTGTGCCTTATATTCTGTGTCGTCGAGAATGTATACAAATGGGCTAATTTTAGGAGGACGCTAACTTTATCTAGAATGGTTCTCGAAGGCACCTAACCTTACTTTGCGAGGAAGTCCTCCCCCGCACAGTCATTACTCGCGAGACATTGCAAAACGGTTGAACGAAAACTGTGTAAGCATCAGACAAGAGCGAATATAAAGAAGTCTTTATGGAAAACAACATGCGGATTGCAGACAGTGGAATGGGGAATATACATTGCGTGACAACTTCCTGTTTTGTTTACGTCCACAAACGACAAGACGACACTGGCTTATTCAAATGAATGAAAGCCTCAGGGCACATAAATATGAGAGAAAACATAACAAATTTATCAAGAATGTATCAAATGATTGTGCAAATTCAGTCTTCAAATTTATTTGCAGGCAAGAAAGTGCTATTGAACCGGGGAGCACGGACTATCGGGGCTACGTCTGCACGGCTCGTCTAGCGTCGCGAGGCACCAGTCCAACTACCTTGCAGCGCCGAAAACGTGAGAGGATAACCTCACCTAGTATTCTTGGTCACAATATTCCACAGGATTCAGCATCGCACCAGTTACAGCAAAATTGAATGGAACGGCTGTCAGGAGAGAGCCATGACAGTTTTAGACGTAAAGAGTTGCATGAAAGCACTGAAAAGGTCGGAAACACACGACAGAGAAGGATAACTGTTTTCTCCGAATAAAGGAGCCTGATTCTTTATTCAGAACGTTTAATAAAGTAACATGGAGCAGAATTTTAAACATTAAGGAAACTCTCAACTAGTCCTTTAGGAACAGTGTGATAAACATTGCGTTAGTTTGGTGATTCGTGTTGGCGACAGCGGCTGTAGGGCGCGCAATTGAGCGCCATTCAAACTATGCTCAAACAACGCCGCGGCGGCGCTCCATTTACACGATCCAAAATCGTCTCTCGCCTTGATTTTGGTACAGGTCTACGGCATAACCGAAGGTGCCTCGAAAAAAGGGTTCCCGCTTGACTGGGCTTCCGAATTGCGGCTTCTCCGAGGCCTTCGACTGCCTTTGCGGAGGCATGGCGGAGGCGTGCGTAGGATGGGTTGCCTAGCCGCAAGGGTTCCCCGCGGTCCACTTGTTCTGGCGCACGTTGGGTTGGCCGCCTGCAGCCTGCAAGGCGCGTTGCGATGTCATCTATTAGCACGCCCTGCTTGCCCTGCTGACTGAAGAAATAGACTCCAGTTCGCATTCGATGCGGGCCCTGGGCTGCTGGAGTGTCTGGGGCGGCGGCCGCGGCGAGGCCGGCTGCGCTGGAGCCATGGAGACTCTGGAGGCACTGGACGGCCATCGGGACTAACGACTCGTGAAGTCCCCCATCAGGCTGACCGCACGGCGCCTGCACGCCGCCTGTAGGACGAGGCCGCCCCGCCCCGCCTAGCGCCCTGCGGGGCACGCTGCCCTTTATCACAGACGGGACGTTTTTATCATGCCACGCTTCGCAAATCAAAAGCCCTGCCACCAGAAGCCCCCCACCAAATTCCCGCCTGTGTCTCAGTCTCCGTCCTTCTCCCTCTTTACCCTGTGCGCGGCCGCTATCCACGCCTGCGGGAAGGACAACTCGCAGTCGAGAACTGAATGAGGCTCGCGGTTCCGATTTCGCTCGGGGTGCGTTTGGCCGCATCTTGACCCTGCTGGTCCCTGGTTCGGCCTCCCCGGTGCCGCTTCCCTTCCCTACCCGCTCGCCGCTCGCGTTAACCCTACTAAGTGACCCGGCCACACAGTGTGCCCGCACTTCCGAGGTACTTAAACGGACCCAACATCTCTAGCCCTCTAGCCCTTCCCCAACCGGCCGCTCCGAGCCGGCCAGCCAGCCCAGGAACCCACAGGCTCATTCCGTACAGTGCTTTCGTCACTCTGTCTCTCTCGCACTCTTGAGGCGTCCCGTAGCGGTGCGAGAGACACAGCTCAACGTGACTTTCGCCTTCAGTCGTGGTCGTGTGTTGCGCGGCACACATGTCGCGGTGCTCCCTAGTCCTTGTTCTGAGAATAACCGTCAGTTCCCGCAGAGCGATCCCAAACGTCGCTTTCGTCCGTCAGCCTCTCTCTCTCTCTCGCACTCAAGGCGCGTTTTGCGTCGGTGCGAGAGAGACAGAGCGACGAAACGCTGTGAGCGGAATGAGCCCGCTGGCCCGGCCCGGTCCGGCTCGGCCCCGGATTTATAGCGTTAGTTAATGCAGGGAATGCCAAGGCTGGCCGAGGCAGCCAAGGCATGGCGGCGAGGCGCGTCCTCTTTGTTTACGGTAACGAGGCATCGCGGCAATGGCGCGTGCTGATTGACTGGAGAGAGCCCTACTCGAGACACGCCGAGCCGAGCCGAGCCGAGCCCTGTCCGGGTCAAGAATAGCGGCAGTCGGGGTTGCGGTGGGTCCTGGCTGTCCTGGCAGTGCTGGCAGTGCTGGCGGGGTCACCCTTAAATCAGCAGCCAGCCACCCAGATTCCAGACACCTCGCCGCCTGCGCCTGGGCCGAGGCCTGGGCCTCCTCGGCTTCCTCGCGAACTGGAGACGCCGGAGTGGAGACACGGAGCTCATTTTCCGCGTCGCCATTCCCACTCGGCCCATTCGGCCCATTTGGGTCATGCCCATAATTTTATTGGGATGGGCCGCGCGGTGGCGTGGGCGTCGACGTGGGCCGCCAGGACTGGCCGGCCCGGCCCGGCCGCCTTGGCTGCTAATGTGTTTGTCACCAAACTCACTCACCGTCGAGGAGGTGGTGGGGTGGCCATGGGGGTGGCCATGGGGCCGGGGATGAGGAAATGTCTCCACGGCGGAGGCCTTGCCTCGCCCAAAACTTTTCACCTGACGCACACACGCCAAAATGCACCATGCTGCTGACGACTGTAACTAACCACTCCCAATGAAAAGCGCCTCCCCCCCCACCACCACACACGCCGCCTATATTATACATACTAAACTGATGTGACTTTTTTACCATGAACTTCCCGGGCGGACTTTTCGGCGGTTGTCAAGGCTCGGGCTCGTTCATGACGGCCATGCTAATTTTACGAATAAGGAAAAAAGTAGAGAGAGGAGGGAGGAGGAGGGCAACGTGACTTTTATGTGAACGAGTTCGGTTCCGGCGAGGACGAGTCCCTCCCGCCCCTTCCCCCACCTGCCGGGCGCACGCTTTTATTGATAATCCCCTCCCTTATTTTCGCTCGCCGCCCTCGGTCCCTCTGTAAAGCAAACACCTGGATGCGTATCTCCCCTCGCCCTGGTCCGGGCCCTGGAGCCAAGGCAGCCTCCAGGCTGGAGGGCGGGGCGAGGCGGGGCGAGGCGGGGCGAGGCGGGGCGCATTCACTAAAGGCACGCCGCCGCACCCTCCAACTGCTGCCTGTTTTGCCCCGTGCATGGGCAGCATGGGCAGCATGGGGGACACGGTCGCGCTAAATGTGGCGGCAAGCTGATTAGAAAGCCATCAAGCTGCACAGGCACACCCTAATCCTGGGCACTGGGTGGCACTGGGCGGCACTGGGCGGCACTGGGTCCCCGCAGCAGCGCCCCCCGCCGAACCCATCTCCCCGCACTCGTTCGTCCCGCCCGGAACGCGGAGCAAGTGCTGCCGATGGAGGCATGGGGGGGGGGGCAAAGGTTTTTCGCGAAAGAGTTCATTCCAACAGGACAATCAAAATAGACGAATGTTGCTTACTTGTAGCAACACTGGCTGCGCGCTGCGCGGCCGGTTCAGCCACTCGTAGCCCCTGTCAACGGCGAGGTAGGCAACGCGGCGCGCACCCCGATACAGAGACGGCCTATCGCGCAGGGGCTCCGACCGCTTCACCTTCACCGGGCCGCGCTGAGGAGGGAGAGCCGACGGAGAGCCGAGGGAACGCTGACGGAGAGCCGAAGGAAAGCCGAAGGAAAGCCGAGGGAAAGTCGCGGCCACGGACAAATTAGCTGCTAATTGCGAGAAGAGTGGGGCGGCCGGGGAAATGGTGGCGAAAAATATCCTTTTTACGTCATTCGCCTTACTATTGTCAGAGCGCGCCGGGCTGGGCAAGGCAGGGCTGGGCGGGGCAGGGCGGGGCCGGGCGGGGCGGGACCGGGTGGGGCCGGGCGGGACCGGGTGGGGCCGGGCCCTTGCCACTAATGAAGGGCAGGGGAAGGGCGGGGTGAGGAGGCGACGACTGGGGAGAGAGCTAGACTACACGGACGGGACAAGGAACTCGCAGATTTATCGCGGGGCCAAGTTGGAGCCGGAAGGCAAGGCGGGGCAAGGCAGGCAAAAGCAGAAAGGTGAGCAGCGCACCCTTCTGACTAACGGGGCGGGCCACCAGCGCCACGGGGCCACCATGGGGTCACCAGGGCCACCATGGGGCCTCCATGGGATCACCAGGGCCACCATGGGGCCTCCATGGGATCACCAGGGCCACCATGGGGCCACCTGGGATCACCTGGGCCACCATGGGACCACCAAGGAATCACTAGGACCACCATAGGATCCGATAGGATCACCAGGCGGGACCACCATGGAGACAATGCGGCAGGCACACAAAAGAACCAACTGTCCATGCCAACCCATGCGTCAGACTTTATTCTTAAGTAACTGACAAAACAAAAACAATACAAAAAGAAAAATGGATTTGAAAAAAAAAGGAATCGACGCGAGGAGCGTCTTACGTAAAAGAAAATCCAATAAATTGTCTTTATTGCCAGGACGATCGGGACTTTATTTTCGCCTCCGACATTACTCTGCTACGCGCCGCTACGTCACCAGAAGGCGACTAGCCGATGCGAGCCGAAGCTGGTCGAGGCGAGCCAAAGGCATCGTGTCTCGGCAGGTCTTATTGGGCGGGGCGGCATGGCGGCCGGGACACAATAAAGTGGAAAAAGTGAGGGGAAACAGGTTGAGGTGGGGGAAGCGACTAACACCCCCCCCCCCCCAAACCCTCGCGCCAAGTCTCGAGTGAATTCCTCTCCAATTGATCCTTTTTGTGGGCTGCGCGGCGCCGCGTGGGGCTGCACAAAGTTTCAGGTGCTACTATAGTTTTTTCGCCGACCCTTCTCCACCGCGCAGACACGCAGACGGAAGAGGGAGCAGGGCGGAGCAGGGCGCCCCTCGCGACGGTGCCCCCGCGCCCCCGCGCCCCCGCGTCCGTGGAGGTCCTCCGAGATGGCACCCCAGTGCGTCATCACCCTTTTTTCAGCTGTAAAGTAAGCTTACATATTCTTTTTATTTTAGCCCGGTTCATGCCACCTGTTTTAAGCCATTGTTTTCTACGAGTCACAAAATGGTTTTCTCAACTTCTAAAATTTATCTTTGTCGCTTTTACTGTTATGGCAGCTCCAAAACCACCGCAGCTCCCGGACCTAAACCCGTCCCCCTCACCCGCTTTCTCTCGCACGGTCGAAATAGTGCAATCTGGGCAGCTCTTCAGAGGGGGAAAAATGTGCTGACGCTGACACAGGCG